CAGGGCTGTCCACCGCTCCAAAGGTGTGCACTGAGTGCACTTTTAAATAATTTACAGTATAATTCAACTAACTACTTCCCCCCCCCCTGAAAAAAACCCTTCAACTTTTTTTTTTTTAAGGAAGTGCAATTTCTCTCTATTTTAAGTACTAAATGAGCTGCGATTACCGTCCCATTAGACTTTTATTTACACACCGAATACCACGTTAATACTTCATCTCGGTCGCTTTTCCCTTATGTTGTTTGCTTTTCGCCCTTGCTACAGGTGGTAAGCCAAGGCTGAGTGTTAACCGTCCTGTTTAGCACACCAACCAGTTTAGCTCAGATGGGCAACTTCAGGAGTCGACAACCCTTGGGCCTTTGGTAAAGTCACCCATCTGCGTGTTTGTGTGTGTTTATGCACGCGTGTTTTCTTTCTGTCTCCATCTTTACAGTGGTACCTTCTCCTCGGCATCAAAATATTTTAGTTTATAGCCTAGGAGGGTTGAGGACTACGGCTTTTAAGGCATCCTCACACTGAATGTAGAAGGGACTCCTGGTTCAGTCAAATCTGCAACTTGAATAGAGACCTCCCATGGCAATATAAATTAAGATCTATGCATTCTGAATGCGCTTCCTCCACTGGGCCTGTGTGAGAGCAAAAATCGTACCATCACAAGAACGGGAAGAGAAACCATTTTGCCACTGTGCGCATCACGTAACTGGTGATGTTACCTAGTTTGGTAATGAAACGTCTGCAAGAAAACTACCAAGCTCAGAGAGCACCAAGGACCCCACAATCTTCCTCCTCCTCTGCCAACTTCATTCCCTTCTAGCACTGATGACGTTACCTAGTTGGGTCGTGAAATGTCTGCAAGAAAACAACCAAACTCAGAGACCACCAAGGACCCCATAGTCCTTCTCTTCCTCTTCCTCCTCCTCCTCCTCTCTGCCCACTTCACTCCCTTCTAGCATGGATGAGGTTACCTAGTTGGGTCATGAAATGTCTGGAGCAGCCTTCTGATGTGGTCTGAAGGCACCAACAAATCTGAGTTTCTCAGGAACTTTGCACGCCAATCCTTTTCCCCACCAAAAACAGATGTTTTGTCATTCCTTACAACAGGGGTCTCCAAACTTGGCCATTTTAAGACTTGTGGACTTCAACTGCACAAGTCTTAAGCTTCAACTCCACTTCAACTGTTTTTGTGAAATTCTGCGAGTTGAAGTCCACAAGTCTTAAAGTGGCCAAGTTTGAAGACCCCTGCCCTACAAGAAGGCAGGATTTTGTTGTGTCTGTTTTCTGGTAGGCACCTCTCCAAGATCTATCCTGGAGATCAGATTTACAGCACAATCACGTGTGTAGTTGTGATTTCTGAAGGGACTTCCCTGTTTTCAAAGTTGCTGAGGGTCCTGTGTGTGAATTGAGGACCAGCAACTTAGAAGCTTTCATGTTGGAAGTGAGGGGGGGGAGTTACGGGTAGTCCTTGACTTACAACCATTTGTTTAGTGACCATTCAAAGTTACAACGGCTCTGTGAAAAGCGACTTTTTGACCTTTTTTTTCACAATTATGACTATTGCAGCATTCCCCCACGGTCACGTGATCAAAATTCAGACACCTGGCCAACTGGCTCCTATTTACGACGGTGGCCGTGTCCCGAAGTCACGTGATCTCCTTTTGCGCCCTTCTGACAGGCAAAGTCGATGGGGAAGCCGGGATTCGCTTAACAACCGTGTTGCTAACTGAACGACTGCCGTGATTCGCTTAATGACGGTGGCAAGAGAGGTTGCAAAATGGGGCAAAACTCACTGCCTTCCTTAGCAACAGAAATTTTTGGTGCTCCGTTGTGGATGTAAGTCAAGGACCAACCCCTGTACGTGAATTGAGGATTGCAACTTAGAAGCTTGGAAGCAAGAGGGAGAATTAGTCTTTAAAACCACATGGTTGCCCCCCCCCCCCAAAATAGGGGAGATTTAAGCACAGTGAAAATAATCTGATAAAGTAGCTAATAACCTTATTCTTTGAATTGTTATCTAACCCATTGTCTGGCTTTTGGATATGCTGAAACCCACAGTTCACGAAGTGTGAGGAGTGTCTGTGGAGATTTCCAGCCGTCCAGGTTGTGCTTGTCCCCAAAGATGCTTTTTTTCAAGAGGCAACTGGACTTTCTTGTTTTTCTCTGAAGACGTTTCGCTTCTCATCCCAGAAGCTTCTCCAGTTCTGACTGGATGGTGGGGAACGGAAGGATTTATACTCCTTGCAGACAGCTGGTCATTTGCATCCTTTTAGAGTCGTTGAGGCCACCTGGAGGTTTATCTCTATGTTCTCAGGGTCACCTGAGTGGTGCAAATGGCTGTGGAGCCTTCTTGGAACTGCTGAAAGGACTGTGTTGTAGACAGGAGATAGTTGATGTCGTATCCCTCCCCTCTGTTGTGAGAGGGCTGTTCAGTTTTGACATAAATGACCTCTTTGATCCCTCTTTCAATCCATCGGTCCTCTCTGTCCAGAATATGGACAAGGTTCAACAGTCCATCTACATTTAAAAGAAAAAGGCCACTCTTTTGAAGACAGCAAAGTCCACATTTTGGACAGAGAAGACCACTGGTTTGAAAGAGGGGTCAAAGAGGCGATCTAGGTCAAAATTGAACAGCCCTCTCTCAACAGAGGGGGAGGGATACGACATCATCTATCTCCAGTCTACAACACAGTCCTTTCAGCAGTTCCAAGAAGGCTCCACACCCATTCTGATTCAGGTGACCCTGAGGACACAGATGAACCCCCAAGTGGCCTCAACGACTCTCTAAAAGAATGCAAATGACCAGCTGTCTGCAAGGAACAAAAATCCTTCTATTCCCCACCATCCAGTCAGAGCTAAAGAAGCTTCTGGGATGAGAAGCGGAACATCTTCAAAGAAAAACAAGAACGTCCAGTTACCTCATGAAAAAGCACCTTTGGGGACAAGTGTGAGGAGTATTTACCTCAGGAGCCAACTGCAATTTCTAGAGAACATCCCACTCCTTCTTCTGGGCTTCTCCACAGCTGCTATTTCATGCTTTAGGAATCTAAAAATGGCACTGATTGCCCTCTAGCCAATTACAGGCAGTCCTTGACTTACAACCATTCGTTTAGTGGCCATTCAGTTACAATAGCACTGGGGAAAAAAAAGACTAACGACCGCTTTTCACACTTACGACCAGTGGCAGCATCCCTAAGGACACACGATCCAAATTTGGGAATTTGGCAACCGGTGTGTACTTAACGATGGTTGCATTGTCCTAGTGTCATGTGATCACTCTTTGTAACCTTCCCAGCCGGCTTCCGACAAGCAACGTCAATTGGGGAAGTCAGATTCCCTTACCAACTGCAGCAAATAGCTTGCTCACTGTGGCAAAAAGGCCGTAAAATGGGGCAAAGCTCACTTAACAGCCGCCTTGCTGAGCAAAAGAAATTTGGGGCCCATTTGCGGTCATAGACGGAGGACTACCTGTAAAATATCAATTGCCCCATCTAGATCCTTCTCACCGGCCTGGCTGGGTTCAAACTCAGGATTCGTTCTCTTGATAAGAGTGGACAAACCATAGACAGTGTCCTATTTGCATCTCTCCTCTTCCGCTCTTATCTCCCTCTGAAAATCTAGCCGTATCCCCGTGAATTAAGGGGGGTGCTGAATAAATCTGCTTTGCAAGAGACATTCACTTCCTTGCAGTGGTGGGATTCAGCTGGTTCGCACCGCTTCGGCAGAACCGGTAGCTAATGTTTTGTTGCCCAGGCCCAGAATGGACTTCCGGAAGTGGCATCCCCGCAGAGAACCGGTTGTTCACCTATTTGAATCCCACCACTGCTTCCTTGTCGTTCTTTAAGTGCACGCTGGACTTACGTATACTGGACGGTGAACCCCCCAACACCAAATCAAAGTGGTTCTTTGGAAGAGCTTTACCCCATATTTCTCGAAGGACAATTCCCCCCCTGTTTTTGTGAAACACAGAAAAAAAAATGTGGAAACCAAAGCTGAGAACCCACAAGCACAGTTTTGCCACGAATGTTTCAGCCAAAGTCCACAGGGAAGAGTAACTAGTAGTCTAGCCCATTTGTTCCTAGTCACCACCTGAAGGACGCCTCTGGCATTGAGGCCTGCGGTGCTCCTGAAGGATGACGACCACACGACAAAGAGAACCGAAACAGTCAGCAAAAAGGACTATCCAGAACCGATGGACCACTGGACCACGTTCACACACTTAAGAATCCTCCCCTACAAAACCTCCCCAGATTGGTCTATTTGTTAATCGCCTTTAAAAAAAAAAGACAGACAAAGGAATACTGTAGTTGCAAACTCCAAAAAAGCTTCCCTGAGAACTTTGCTTTGCTTTGTTTTTGTTTTTTTTTGTTTCCTGTTGCGTTTTCCGCTGGAGATCCGGAGCTGCTGTTTTGGAAAATAAAAAACAACGTGACTCTATAATACTTTTGCGACTTCTCGTGTCCAGCGGCTTTGGACCCCTTGGTTGAATCAGAACGCCAGCCCAGGTTTCGATGGAGGGACTGCAGTTCCGGCATCTCCTGAACAACCGATGACATGGAATTGACGTGTTACCTTGAGACATGACCAAAAGCAACGCGTGATTGTGGAGCCTTCCCCTGATGCAGAGTAAAATCCCTGTTCTTCGAATGATCTAAAGCTTGGAACAACTCTATTACGAAGTGTAGGAACTTAGCAGCCCGCGAAGATCCAAAATCTCCACCTACTTCCAAGCCCAGCTTTGAATCTATCGCCAGAAATGAAACGGGGTTCCTGCTGTTGGCCAGAGTGATGCCGTCAAGTCAACAAAACGAAACGAAACAACAACAACAAAAAAATGAGTTCATTTCTTCTTTTGTGAATGGCCTCTTGGTTAAGTTTTGGTCCTTTGATTCATTCATTCAACAAATAAACCTGAGTGAAGGTCTTCTAAAGTCTTCCAGATATTCTAACATCTTCTCTCTCTCACACACACACACGTTTCTTTCTTTTTTTTCTTGTCCTACCTATTAGACCTGAATTCCTTTAATTGCCTGTTTGATGCTTTCCAATAGATCCTTGTTTTCAGGATTCTGGTAGCATTCTTGATTGGTGTACATGTCGGTAAGAGTGTTCACGTAGGCATCAAAGTTCTGCTCACTGATTGGCTCCTGGGTTCCAAAAGAAACAGACAAACAGAAAGAAGCATAATTACCATCACTGTAAATCCTCACTTGGGAAACAGGGAAGTCATAATCAGAAAGACTCGTGAAGGCGTCTGAATTCAGAAAGAATAAGACAGTGGTTCTCAACCTTTTTAATGCCGCGATCCCCAACCGGTCGTAAGTCGAGGACTAAACCGGTCATAAGTCGAGGACTAAACCGGTCGTAAGTCGAAGACTACCCAACCGGTCGTAAGTCGAGGACTTTCCCTGCCCGGGAGCGCCACGCATGCGTGGTTCTGCCCCCTGCGCCGGCCGAGGCATAGCTGGCAAGCGGCAGAGACGGAGCAGGCCGACCACCAGCTGGCCCAGCTCAAGGGAGGTAAGGCACCCGCCGGAAAAGGGAAAAAAAATGGCGGACAGCCTTGCTTGGCGACCCCCGTGAAATGGTCGATCGACCCCAAATGGGGTCGCGACCCATAGGTTGAGAACCGCTGGAATAGGAGGATAGCAGAGTTGGAAGGGACCTTGGAGGTCTTCTAGTCTAGTCCAACTGCCTGCTCAAGCAGGACACCTCATACCATTCCATACCACCAGGAGCTGTGGTGGCCCGGTGGTTAGAAGGCAGTATTGCAGGCTAATTCTGCCCACTGCTAGGAGTTCGATCCTGACCAGCCCAAGGTTGACTCAGCCTTCCATCCTTCCGAGGTTGGCAAAACGAGGGTCCAGATTGTCGGGGGCAATATGCTGACTCTGTAAACTGTTTAGCAGGGGTAGTCAACCTTGGCTCTTTTATGACTCGTGGACTTCAACTCCCAGAATTCCTGAGCCAGCTGTGCTGGCTCAGGAATTCTGGGAGTTGAAATTCACGAGTCATAAAAGAGCCAAAGTTGACTACCCCTGGTTTAGAGAGTGCTAAAAGCACTGTGAAGCAGTGTATAAGTCTAAGTGCTATTGCTATCGTTATTCCAGACAAATGGCTGCCCAATTTCTTCATGACCTTGTCAAACCTGCTACCACTTAAACCTCTAAATAGAAATGATCCTTGGCTCCATTTGTTGAGAAAGGTATATATATATATATATATTTTCATTAATTTTTTATAATCACAAATCCTTAATATTTTATCAGCAACATATTGTCTGGGTTCCAATATTTAGCTTACTAATGCATGTTAAACTCCTTTCTCTCTACCTCGTTTTCTAGCCTCTGATAAAATGTATCCCATGTTCTAAAGCAGGGGTCCCCAACCTGCGGGCCGTGGCCCAGTAGTGGGCTGTGGGACAGGCTGGCCAGTGCGTGCATGTGTGCGTGCACACCCCCTCACTTGCGCTAGCGCTGTAGCCACGGGGTGCAAAAATAGGATGTTGCACTTCAGCGCACGAAAACGGGCTGCCACTGCACTGCAAGGTGCAAAAACAGCTGCCACTGCACAGCAGAGTACAGAAACAAGGCACTGTGCCATGCAAGAACGGGGCAGGGCTAGTGATTATCACGTGCATGCTCGCGGCCCCGTGCGCACGCACACGGACACACATGTGTAAAATGCTTTCCCCTCCCTTTTCCTCTGGTCCACCAACCGACAAAGGTTGGCGACCTCTGTTCTAAAGTAATCTGAATCTTCTTTCTCCTTCATTTTCAATGTAAGTCTGTCTATTTCTGCACAATCCAAAATTTTTCCTGATTATCTCTGATTATCGCTGGTAATTCTTCATCTTTCCCATATTGAGCAAATACAATTCTCGCTGCCGTTAATATATGTAACATTAAATATGCACATTCTTTCTCATAATTTCCCGCAATTATACCTAACAGAAATAATTCTGGCTTAAAATCTACGTAGTTTTTTTTGTCATTTTCTTTAATCATATATGTATTCTTGACCAAAATGTTTTAGCCTTAGGGCATGTCCACCAAAGATATGTGCCTGGTTTTTGTCTACATTTCCAACAATTGCTAGACATATTTTTGAGAAAGGCATAATTTTATTAGAAGTCCGGTGTTTTGCAGTAAGGCCTAGCCAGAACTGAGCATCGCGCGCCAAAATCCCTAAGTTCAACTTTTTCCTCCCTTAAGTGCCTCCCATCTCTGACCTCCCAGATGACCAATCAGGTTCAAGCAAGATGTTTTTGGGACAGTCACTTCAAGCTATGTTGGTATGCATCTGCCTTCTTCTCCCAGCTGGGTGACCTTGAAGCAGCATCTCAGGGAAATACAGCAGTTACTTTCGTTTCCCCCCAAGCATCCCCCCCCCAGAATTCATGGCAGACTGTCACCACATGATAAGAAAGCATAGGCAGGTGTAAGGTGGCAGCTGACAGATCTCCTGGTTTCTAGTCTGGTGCCTTAACCACTAGACCCGGGGTAGGCAACCTTGGCTCTTTTATGACTCGTGGATTTCAACTCCCAGAATTCCTGAGCCAGCATGGCTCAGCTTGGAACCCTCTCCCTGTCCCCTCAGCATGGCTGGCTCAGGAATTATGGGAGTTGAAGTCCACGAGTCATAAAAGAGCCGAGGTTTGCCTGCCCCTGCACTAGACAGAACTGGCTCCCTAAATATCTTATACAGGTAGTCCTCAACGTACGACTATAATTGAGCCCAAGGTTTTAGTTGCTAAGTGAGACATTGGTTAAGTGACTTTTGCCCCATTTTACGACCTTTTCTTGCACAGTTGTTAAGTGAATCACTGCAGGGGTTAAGTTAGGAACACGGTTCCCCCCCATTGACTTTGCTCATCAGAAAGTCACAAAAAATCACAGGGCCCCGGGATTCAGTTGCCAAGCGTCTAAATTTTGATCACGTGACCAGGGGGATGCTGCAACAGTCGTAACTCTGAGTCACTCTTTGCAGTGCTGTTGTAACTTTGAATGGCCACTAAATGAACTGTTGTAAGTCGAGGACTACCTGTATTTTTCATTTTAATCTTTGGCTGTTCCTGCCTGGTTTCAAACGGGGGACCTTTCGTGCGTAATAACGGCTGCATGACAGAAACACCAACTCAAAAAAACCCTTATTATTATTAATAATAAGGTACAATCCGCTTTCTGAACGGAGTTATTTCAGCGGTGATCTATGCATTTTGTGGAGAATTGAAGAGCTGAAGAGCAAAGAGCATAACTTGCGCAGATCCTGGTCCCACACCAGTTGCACAATGTTGTGTCTCTAAGCCCGGGAGAAAGGAATAAACTGCAAATAACACACTGAACATATATGAAATAGATACAAGCAGCAGGAGGTCTGCTACCCTCATTAACCAGGCCATAAATAATGGCTAATGAGGTTCTCTAACAGTTAATCACAGTCCAGAGGGCAGCGATGCAGATTCCGTATGCTAGCGGAGGGGAAGGGAAGGCATTTCAGTCAGGAATAATTGCCCGTGCAGTGCTGGAAAAGGAAGGCATCTCTGGAGAAGATTTATAAACTAGCATAAAAATGCCCGAAGGAGCGTAGGATATAAGACCTATAAGGGTATTTGTTATAGTATAATGAATGCTGGTATAAAAACAACACCCGAACAGTCCCAGAAAATGGAAATCGTGCATTAGATGGCACGTGGTAGATGGTTCCTGGTGAGGAACAAAACATTAGCAAGAGTATTAAACAGTTATCATTTGGTGGGCCATGCCAAATTGTTCAACAACCCCTTCTAAAAAAATTCAAGAGCAAAACATTCATCTGAGCGTACCCCCTTTCTACTGTTGCCATCTATTGTCTCTTGATATAATTTTTTACAATGAAGTCATAGAAGGATAGAGTTGGAAACGATTTGGGAGATTTTCTAATTCCACCCTCTGCTCAACTTTTTCCTCTGTAAAACTTCCACCTATGGGGTCCTTGGGGCTCTCCGAGTTTGGTTATTTACCTGCAGACGTTTCATTTCCCAACTAGGTAAATATCATTAGAGCTGGAAGGGAGTGGGGTTTGCAGAGATAAGGAGAAGGAGAAAGAGAAGGTGAATGGGAGGAAGAGGAGGAAGAGGAGAAGGAGGAGGAGAACTGTAGGCTCCCAGAATTGAAGTCACAATGGCACTGAAAAAAGTGCCCCCCAAGCCACAGCCGAGGAAGACACCTGCCTGCCCACCCGGTGGCGCTCTTCCTCCTGTCCGAGGTTTTCATTGTTGTGATGTTGCCATATCTCGGATGTTGCCATATCCTAAAAGTGGTACAATGGGTGAAAAGGTTGAAAAGCCCTGCCCTAGATTACATACAGAAGAGAGGAGAGGAGAGCAAGCAAATAACCAAGCTAAGAGAATAGAATAGAATAGAATAGAATAGAATAGACAGATTGTAGAATAGAATAGAATAGAATAGAATAGAATAGAATAGAATAGAATAGAATAGAATAGAATAGACAGATTGTAGAATAGAATAGAATAGAATAGAATAGAATAGACAGATTGTAGAATAGAATAGAATAGAATAGAATAGAATAGAATAGAATAGAATAGAATAGAATAGAATAGAATAGACAGATTGTAGGAATAGAATAGAATAGAATAGAACAGAATAGAATAGAATAGAAATACAGAATAGAATAGAAATACAGAATAGAGTAGAATAGAATTACAGAATAGAATAGAAATACAGAATAGAGCAGAATAAAATAGAATAGAACAGAATAGAATAGAATAGAATAGAATAGGAGCTGGAAGGGACCTTGGAGGTCTTCTAGTCCAGCCCCCTGCTCAAGCAGGAGAACCTATACCGTCTCAGACAGGTGAATGTCTAATCTAGTTGGGCAATGAAATGTCTGCAAGAAAACAACCAAGTTCAGAGAGTACCAAGGACCCCACGCCGGGATATTTTTTAAATTAAATTTCCACACCATCCATTTCACCCAAGTGACTCTGAGCACTTTACAGCAGCACAATAAAACCATACAAATACACAAATAACAGCATAGCTCCTTACCATGTGTGGAAGGCGGATATTGGCAAGACTTTGGATAAGGGTCTGGCTCAGCCCTGAGAGCTCCAGGAAGAGGGCTTCGTTCTGCTCCTCTATCATCTTGTTCTCCTCTTCGATGGTCTTGAGGTTCTTCTCCATGCTGGAGATCTGCCAGAGGCAAAGGAGAAGGGTTACAGGAGGCTTGGCCAGTACTGTAGCTTTTGAAAGCTCAGTGAAGGTTCTAGAACAATTTAGTCCAAAGGTGCTTTTTAAAAAAAGGCAACTGGACTTGGTCTTTCTTTGAAGGCATTTTGCTTGTCATCCAAGAAGCTTCTTCCGTTCTGACTGAATGGCGGAGGATGGGAGGATTTATATTCCTTGCAGTCATCTGGTCGTTAGTACTCTCCCTGAGAGTCGTTGAGGCCGCTTGGAGGTTTATCTGTGCCCTCAGGGTCACCAGAATAGTGTGCAAAATGGATGTGGAGCCTTCTTGGAACTGCTGAAAGGACTGCGTTGTAAACAGGAGATAGGTAGGCTCGTATCCCTCCCCCTTTATTGAGAGAGGGCTGTTCAGTCTTAATGTAGCCTCTTTGACACCCCCCTCTTGCACACACATTTCCACTATTCAGGTGGCCCTGAGGGCACAGATAAACCTCCAAGTGGCCTCAACGTCTCTCAGAGAGAGAGAGAGAGCTAATGACCAGGTGACGGCAAGGAATATAATCCTTTCATACAGAGAAGAGCAACAAAGATGATCAGGGGATTGGAGGCTAAAATATATAAAGAACGGTTGCAGGAATTGTCTAGTTTGATAAAGAGAAGGACAAGGGGTGACATGAGAGCAGTGTTCCAATATCTCAGGGGCTGCCCCAAAGAAGAGGGAGTCAAGCTATTCCCCAAAGCAAGAAGCAGTGGATGGAAACTAATCAAGGACAGAAGCAACCTAGAAGAAGGAGAAATTTCCTGACAGTGAGAACAATAATCAGTGGAACAACCTGCCTCCAGAAGCTGTGAATGCTTCAACATTGAAAGCTTTTAAGAAGAGATTGGACAACCATTTGTCTGAAATGGTATAGGGCAGGAATCTTTAAACTTGGCCCTTTTATGACTTGTGGACTTCAGCTCCCAGAATTCCTCAGCCAGCATGCCTGGCTGAGGAATTCTGGGAGTTGAAGTCCACAAGTCATAAAAGGGCCAAGTTTGAAGACCCCTGGTATAGGGTTTCCTGCCTGAGCAGGAGGTTGGACTAGAAGATCTGCAAGGTCCCTTCCAACATCATCATCATCATCATCATCATCATCATCATCATCATCATCATCATCATCATCATGATCCACCATTCAGTCCAGTTCCTATTTGAAAAAGCACCTTTGGTAGAACCATGACCTGGATGACTGAGAATGTCCACAGAGAGAGCAATTTACGGTGTGTGGACTTCAACTTCCAGAATCTCCCATTTTGGCTGGGGAATTCTAGGAGTTGAAGTCCACCACATCGTAAAGTTGCCAAGGTTGGGGAACACTGCTCCCTTTCAGCCACTTTTTTCTACCCACCATTGGCCTGTGTTTTGATGGTCCATCACAATAACAACATGCCAGCCTACCTGTGACTGCAGCTTCACCATTGCTGCTTCCATCTCACTGTTGGATTCATTCAGTTCACTGATTTCATTGTTTAACTGTTTGATTTCTTCGTCATTCTCTAGAACTTTAAAACACAAGAGGGGAAGAAAACTGCCATCATCCCGGTGACAACAACAACACCTTAGGTTTTTTTTTTTTCCAAACCCAGCCCCAGATGTATTCAAATATTTTCTAAAGAAAAGAAGAAACAGGTGACATGAAAGGAGTGTACCAGTATTGAGGGGCTGCCAGAAAGAAGAGGAGTCAAATTATTCTTCAAAGCACCAGAGGACAGGACAAGAAACAATGGTTGGAAACTGATTAAAGAGAGAAGCAAGCTAGAATTAAGGAGAAACTTCCGGACATTCAGGACAATTAACCAGTGGAACAGCTTGCCTCCAGATATCGTGGGCGCTCCATCACTGGAGATTTTTAAGAAGAGACTAGACAGTCACTTGTCTGAGTTGGTATAGGTCCTCCTGCTTGAGCAGGGGGCTGGACTAGAAGACCTCCAAGGTCCCTTCCAGATCTATTCTATTCTATTCTATTCTATTCTATTCTATTCTATTCTATTCCATTCCATTCCATTCCATTCCATTCCATTCTATTCTATTCTATTCTATTCTACATTTCCCAATTTGTTATTAGGAATCATAATGAATCATAAAAGCAACAAATTAAACTCATCAGCCCCAAGAAATTAGGTTGGCCAATGCAGGTAGTCCTCGACCTATAACCACAACCGGGTCCATAATTTCCGTCGCAAAGTGAGGTTTGTCTCATTTTATCCTTTTTTGCCACAGTTGAGTCACCGCATTTGTAAAGCGGATTGGGCGGTCGTTGAGCGAATCTGGCTTCCCCCGCTGACTTTGCTTGCCAGAAGCCAGCTGGGAAGGTCACAAATGGTGATCATGTGACACTCCCCTCCCGGGACAGTGCACCCGTCATAAATTCATGCCAGTTGCTAAGTTTTTTTGGATTTTGATCACGTGACCATGAGGATGGTGCAGCCGTCGTAAGGGTGAACACTGATCATAAATTACTTTTTTTCAATGCTTTTCAAACTTCAGTTGGTCACTAAAAGAGGGGACTACCTATAGATCAGGGGTAGGCAACCTTGGCTCTTTTATGACTCGTGGACTTCAACTTCCAGAATTCCTGAGCCAGCCATGCTGAGGGGAAAGGGAGAGGTTTCCATACTGAGCCATGCTGGCTCAGGAATTCTGGGAGTTGAAGTCCACGAGTCATAAGGGGGCCAAAGTTTCCCCCATGCTGGCTCAGGAATTCTGGGAGTTGAAGTCCACCAGTCATGAAGGGGCCAAGGTTGCCTAACCCTGACCTATAGGTAGAGGCAGTCCTACTTAATGCTGGTTGCCTAGCAACCATTTAAAGTAATGACGGAGCCCCCAAAAGTTCCAATGGCCCCACCCACTCTTTGCATTTTGGGTGCTTGGCAGCCAGCTTGCATTTACAACTCTTTGCAGCATCCTGCGGTCACATGACCAGAATTTTTGTAGGGGGGGATTTGGCCAGTTTTCAGTATTCTGGTTTCTGGCAAAAACCACTCCCCATTAGGTATAATGGCTTCATTTAACAACCCTCTTGTTCATTTAACGACCATTGCAAAAAAGGTTGTAAAATCAAGCCCGGTGATATGGTGACCCATTTAATGACTACCATGGTCTAACAGCTGTAATTCCCTGCCCCGTTACGGTCACAGATTGAGAACTATTGGTATTCATGATTAGATTTCTTGAACAAAATTTCTTTGGAAAGATTATACATTTTGTGGACATATTGGAGAGATTGCAAAGAGAAGCAGAATCTGTTCATAACTGTGAGGGACTTCCAAAGTGCAAGGGAATATCTTGCTGAAATTGTAGTGCCATTTTTAAACAAATTAGGTCGTTCAAATTTAACCTGTATGGGTCATCCTGATCAGAGAAGAGTATGAATACGGTGGTTATGTACAATGTATAAAACAAAGGTGCACGGACTGATGGTATTACCTAGTTGGGTAATGAAATGTCTGCAAGAAAATAACCAAGCTCAGAGAGAGCACCTGGCGCCCCAATGTTAGATTGCTCTGCCCCCCAAATTACAAAACTAGCTGAATAATAAGACAAATTATTTTTACCATCGCTGGTCTTGAATTTAGCATTGAGTATATCATCCCCTGAGATTTTCCCTTTTTTTCCAGCAAAAGTAGCTCTTGGACACCCCGATAAGCTGAAAGAAAAAAGAAAAAAATTAGAACTTCCAAAAGGAGCTGTAACCGCGCAATAATTCAAGCTTAATTCTGGCTGACATGATGACATGATGCAGTACGGTATATGTTGAAAAAATGTGTCCTAACTTGTTCTCCTCCCTCCCTCCCCCCTTCCCTCCCATTTCCTATTTCCCTCCCTCCTTCCCTCCCATTTCCTTCCTTCCTTTTTCCCTCCCTCCCTCCCATTTCCTTCTTCCCTCACCCCAATTTCCTTCCTTCCTTCCTCCCATTTCCTCCCTCCCTCCTTCCCTCCCATTTTCTTCCTTTC